GCCATGCTTCGGCACGAATGGGCCAGCTCGATCGGAGCGATACCACGGCGTCACAGAAAACCAACATGAAACAACGCGTGTGTTGTATTTTGTCGTGTAAGTGAGGTTACCGGACGCCCAATTAATCTCCTGCCCCTTTTCCCAATCTCTGAGTCCCCAACAATCCTCACATTCCTAATCCCCAAAAGGCCGGTAACTCGTAACGCCTCTGGTTTCCAGGCGTCCATGGGCGACGCCCATTGCTTACCATCAGGCGATCCGTCTGCTCGTTTACCGGCTTGTCCCATAAAAAATAAGCATGTTAAAAATTGAGGATGGACACCGTTAACAAGTTGTTTAATGAAAAAAAATGTTTTAAACCTAAAAACAATTCCAATTTGTGTAATTAACCACAACACTAGATAGAAAACTGCCCTCACTTGCGGACGTGACAAAACAAAGTTGTCGTCAGACTTTCAATTACAAGTTAAGCAAGACCGACTTTACTTAGTAATAAACAAACTTCGTAGTTCTCTATTTGCGATTAATTATTCCATAAGGGAAAATGGCAGTGACCGTTGCCAGCTCCCCTTGGCGTGATAAAATATTCAAGCTCTCCACTTAGCCCTGTGATCGGCGACTCACGACTCCTGCATTATTTATAAATATGAGATATTTCATAGACATTCGTGATGAAACCTGTTATCACTGCTAATGGTTTGGTGAGTGTTAAAATTTTAGCTTTCTACTTATAGTTGTAGTTAATATAATTGTTGAGATGTGAGGTGTCTGTAAACAACAGATATCTTCAACAGATCGTCTTTTTGATATTACGTCAAGTACAAGATATTGATATTTGTTTTTAACTACATAGCATATTTTTGTTGAAACGAACAGCGGTTGTTCGCTTACCTCCATAGCAAATGAATTTTTTAGTGTATTTAGGGTAATACATGTTCGGTGTAAAAACTTAAATTAAAATGACACTATAAAAGCAGTGAAAGCGAACTACCCAATGTTATAAAACTAAAAATAACCGATGCGAAGGCAGGCAGTTCAGTTCAGGTAATACGTTCAGTCAATGCAGACAGTTCCCGGTAACCAATTTTCCGGTACGGTACCGTCAGAGCATTTTATATGGTTCCGACGAAATTGGGAAAAATCGTGTTTCCCAAGACTTTCGGAGATAATTCTATCCCCTTTAGGAAGACGAGACGAGTTCCCTTTACAAAAGGTTTGGCTCGAGGAGATTATAATAGGTGACTCGTCCACATCGATATTGAATGGTATATTTTTATATACCCATCTTGTAAGCCAATATTGGGGTCTTATTTATATTACAGACGTTATTTAAAAAGTAAGTAGAAGAGAAGTGGTTTCTTTTTGGTTGTTTGTTGGTGTAGAAGTAATTGCGGTTGACACAGCTTTGGGTTTAATTAAAACCTCAGCAGACGTAAAATATAATTGTATTTATATGTTGACTTCTATACTTAAAAATAAAATTGGGTCTTTGGTTTACTCTTAGAATAAAACATTGAAATGTCGCAGTTCTTACTCTGAATGGGGTACGTAGAAGTATTATTTAATGTAATGGTAAGTAGGTAGGTGCATTATGGGTCCTACGTAATACATAGTGAAACTAAATACATTTTAGATAGGTAACCTGATTATGAAAAAGGGAGTGTAATATACTTACTGTCTACATAAAACCTATTTCTTTATGTAGGTACTACTTCAGTTAATAAAAGATGTGAATTTATGATTGAACGATGATATTAATAAAATTATTAAAGGAGACGTTTAAAATATTTTACCGAAACAACGAGAATAAGGTTTTCTCCTGCCGTTCGAAACCTTTGTTCGACTTATAGATTGTTAAAAGTTTTCATAAACTCTCCGCTAACAATGTAGGTACCCATCCGTTTTCCGATAAGGTATTTGAAAGTTACGATAACAATACAAACGGAGGGAATCGTTTTAAGAGTATTTATCTATTATAAGATGTGATTTGCCTTTATTGTTGATGTTTAAACATAATCAATTTCCGATAATAGCGTGTGTAAGTAAAATTTCAGAAAGTAATCATATAAACGAATGTCACATAATTTCAGATGCAATTCCCGGTTCAAACAATGTCGTTGTTTTACATTCTACTTATACATGCTCACCATAGAGGTCATTGAATGATAATATATAAATACTGGGCAAAAATAGATGAGGTTTTAGAGCTCTCATCTAGAGATTATGAACTCTATTGTCTATGCCGTGCAGAAAATATGAGATTCGAAGGTAGGTTTTTTTAAACACGCTCTAACTACCTGTCATAAAAAATAACAAAAGAAAATAACCTCAATCACTTCCATCCCAGACCTATTTGGTGCAAAAATCTCATATTTCGCCAAACAGGTCAGGACCATTACATACAGACGATGGGACGACCCGTTATACCTAACACCAGCCCTTTCCTAAGATCCCTATAAATTATTACGAGGGTCAAAATGCTCGTAGGACCAAGTTCGCAAGATCTAGCAAACTTTAACACTAGGTCTTAACACTTAAGTTTTATTTAAGTACCGAATGTAAGCACTTAAGCAAGCCTTCCGTCTGTTTGCTGTGTTTAAGTGAATTTAAGTACAAGTTAGTTCTATAATATCGTGTAATTTTGTTTGTTAAGTTGTCACAACTATATTTGGGAATGGAAATAGTTTTTTTAAAGATTTTCTTACTTAAACTACCGTGTATACTTACATTTAACAATTACTTAATTAATTAAATGAAACTATTCCTTAGTTCCAATTTTTATTGACAGCTTTTGTTAAGAACTCGATTAAGGGCCGAATTTTCAATCATTAGTTAATTCTTTTTTTATTTGCTTTGGCAATCGAGTCTTCAATACGATGTTGTCGACTATACTGCCAAGTTGATTCTTAACTGTAGAATAAAATGGACATATGACATTTATTATTATGGAACAATTGTCAAATATTCAAAGTTACTCCTCTGATACGTCGCGGAGAACCTAAAGGGTTACCGGGGCTCTGGCTCGAAGTGCAGGAGTAGGAACGCAGTGGTTTTTAGTTAGTAAGAGTCTGACACTCCCTCCCGCCTCGACCAGGCGGGAGACGTGATTCTATGATTTTTCCCCCTTAAAATAAATTCCTATGATAAAATTAACTGAGAATATAAATGATAGTTAGAGAAGGGACATTCAAACCGCGTCTGCCGTAGCGTATAGCGTGCAGCGTGCTCCCATCACTCAGTGAAGCGAGCCCCAACACGCTGCTACTAACATTTTCGTCTTCAAACAACTTGCGTGTAATCTGACATAAACATGAGCTTGACAGACACTTCGGTGACGTCTCAGCTACCGTGTGACAGCTCTAATGATCGTCAAACATTTGTTATCTAGCCGGCCCAAGAGTTTCAGTTGTTTTTGTTTTAAATAGGGTCGTAAGGTTGATATTCAGTGTGTTTAGGTCCCTTTATTTTTGCAAGAGAAAACTTTATGTAACTGCCTAAAAGGTCGAGTGATTCGATTCCCGGGTCGGGCAAAGTATTACTAAGATTTTGAAAAATTTCCCAGAAGTGGCACGGAGTCTGGAATTGTGCCCGGTATATGGCAATAGACTCACCCCCTATTACATGGCACTCATAACATAAATAATCAAAAGTGGGTGTTACACTGTACAGTGGCAATGTGCACCCCTGTCTATGCGTTCAGGGTAAAAGGCGTGATATTATGTAAATATTTATATAGATGGTAGATATATCTACCTAAAGATACAACTTTACTGTTTAAGTACCAATCACTTGCTGAAAGATAAAATGATCAAAAAGTTGTTATCCTGTAACTAGATTGCAGTTAATTAATGTAAACAAAGTGAAGCAACGGGTGTAGGTTACATCTCAAACAAGAACCGCACTGTTTAAATACCTACTTATACAGAAAATAAGAAATGAATGAATGTAAGTGTAGATAATGAAGAGAAAGAATGTTATTACAATAACTACAAGTCCTTTCATCGTCTTAGCCTTAAGATAAATAAAGATAACAGTATTTGTATTAAACTGTGTCAATGAACGCATAAGTTAACTGGGTCAAATAATAGACATCAATAATCAAAGTGCATCAACGCATCAATCAATTGTGATCAAGGACTTAAATAAAGAAGCTACTTATAAAACACTAGCTACTTCCGCGCGGTTTCACACGCTCCGCTTAGCTCCTTTTGGTCGTAGCGTGATGTTTTATAGCCCATAGCCATTCTCGATGAATGCGCTATCCAATACAAAAAGAATTATTCAAATCAGACTTGTAGTTACGGAGATTAGCGCGTCAAACTAAAAAAAACAAACTCTTCCGCTTTATATAATAGTACTAGCTGACACGGCGAACTTCGAACCGCATAATACTCTACCCTACTCTACCCTACTTTACCCTACTCTACCCTAATCTACCGTACCCTACTCTACCCTGCTCTAACCTACTCTATCCCACTCTACCCTACTCTACCCTACTTTACCCTACTCTACCCTAATCTACCCTACTCTACCCTACTCTACCCTGCTCTACCCTACTCCACCCTAATCTACCCTACTCTACCCTACTCTACCCTAATCTACCCTACTCTACCCTACTCTACCCTAATCTACTCTACTCTACCCTACTCTACCCTATTCTACTGTACCCTAATGAAAAATAGACTCAAGTTAAATAGACTCAATGAAAAATAGACTCAAGTTGGATCGAACTACACATGGTGTGCGAATTTTATCATAATCGGTTAAGTGGTTTAGGAGTCCATTGAGGACAAACATTGTGACACGAGATTTATATATATTAAGATAAGATATAACATTTACAAGCAATGTGACAACCCTATGAAAAGCTTGTTCTTGATGTGCGAATTCTGGAAAAAACCTCTGTGTCATAGAAATCATGTAAACAATACAATAAGTTGAGGACGTATCTACACTTTAAAATGTAACAATAATACGTAGATATGGAACATACGGTGTAAGCGACAGACGTATTACATATAGTTAGGTAAATAATAACTTGAAAACCATATCGTTATTCTTATGTAAATTGTTACACATTGTCTTATTAACATTCGAACAACATACTTCTTACGTCTTAGTGGGCAGGATGGAAAATTAGTCAAAGTTTTGTGTCGTTACAAATTATATATATCGGAGGATTAGCTTGGTGAAACGTATTGTTGTGACCGTAGTGAACGTGGATACATTTCTTCATAAATATTATTGGATTATTGAAAATGAATATAGTTGGATATATAGTGGCATTAACCAATCTACAGGTAAGTGTTTTATTAAAGTACATATATAATTATGTCTACTTTAAATAAGTAGGTACTTATTGTGACGTTTGTGTACAATGGCCGCAGATACAACGTACTCCTATCTGTCAAATTTATTCATTGGATTTTCGAATCTATTTCAATACAATAAAGTTGAAGAAATTCAACAGAGAAAAGGATCAGTTGACATGCTGGCCACCGTACATAACAAACGCATCTGTGCTCACAAGGTTTTAGGTACTTCGGCGGGTTCATATTTTATATCAGTTACTTTCCTTGTGAAATAAAAACTGTTGCGATCAGAACTAGAACTAGAGGTAGAACAGCTTTGTTGAAATACAGTTTAAAATAAAAATATGTATATCAAAATAATGTATCATTATTTTATTTTGATATTCATACAGTAGATGTGACAATAAGGAATGAATAAAGTTGTGCAACTAAATTGGACAGTGAAAATTTCATTTGATTTGTGAGTTAAAACTACACTTAGAAAGCGTCTCATAGAAAAAAACTCAATACCCCGGCAATATGAACATGACAACATGATAGATTAAACTGTCAAACACCAAGCGGTCACCGGTGACCGCAACCTATTGTTCTATAATTGTGTCTACAAAACCGGTACTCGACATGTTAAGAATGTTATTATATATTGGCAAGAGACGTAAATTGAATTCTTACTTAGTCAAATCCTTTTGGATTCGGAAGTGTAGTTTAACAGTTTATAATTAATGCTATATATATTATGGCTGCCTCGTTGGCCGAGTGGTTTCAAGTGGTTGGCCTGGCAAGGGGTCTCGGGTTCGATTCCCGGGTCTGGCAAAGTATTACTGGGTTTTTAAAAACAAATCTTATTAGTAGCACGGAGTCTGGTAATGTGCCCGGTATATGGCAATAGGCTCACCCCTATTATATGGGACTCATAACATAAATAGTGAAAAGTGGGTGTTACATAGTAAAGTGGCATCAAGTAACGGAATTGTTCACCTCTGTCTATCCCTTCGGGGATAAAGGCGTGATTTTATGTTATATTAAAATTCTATATTAGAAAAGTAATTGATGAGTAATATAAAGTAAAATGTGAACGTAACGAAAGATATAGAACCAAAACATAAACAATAGTTTGAATAGAAACAAATTTATCTTATTAATGTAATCGAATGCATCATCGGTCATTAAACAATGTGAACTCTATACCAAGGTTACTGAACAAAAATAAATTCACTTATAGGTACATCATAATGATCAGGCCAAAAATATTTATATTATGTACCATACAGAAGTTAATTTTTCACGAAGACATACCTACGAAGGTTTCTGACCTTTCAGTTATTAACATAGGATCAATCTATTAATAATAGTTATCATTAACATATTCAAAAGTTAGACATGTAAAAATATATTTATTTTTTTGAGCTATATAGCGTCAGACCGTAGTTTTAGTCCATGGAATGTACTGAATGTCGGTGTCTGACGCTTATGGTACTAAATTAAATCGCCAACCCGAATTGAGTAATGAATGCCCAAACCTTCTCCGTGTGAGAAGAGTCTGTGCTTAGCAGTGGGCATTTATAGGCTGTTGAACAATAGTTTTGATGATGATGATGATGATGAATCTATTACTAGATATACGATTTCGACAGAAAACTAATTTTACAATAATAAATAAAGTAGATTGCTTTCCATCAGGTGATTCGTCTTCTGGTTTGCCGACTAGTACTTTAAAAGAATATACATTAAGGTGCTTTCACTTTTAATTTTCAGTTCATACTGTGAGCACTCTCCTTTAACCACTCAAGTAAATATAGCCTACACTATGACCTATACGTTGCCCGGTAAATATTACGTCCGGGTATCTCATTTCATGAGATAAACCGGTAAACGAGCACGCTTTACCGGCCTTTTAAGATTAGGAATTTGAGGATTGTTGGGGATTCAGGGATAGGGGCAAGGGAGGGGGGGGGGGTAATAAGGCCTCCGGTAACCTCACTCACACGACGAAACACAATACAACGTTGTTTCACGTCGGTCTTCTGTGAGGCCGTGGTATCACTCCGGTCGAGCCGGCCCATTCATGCCGAAGCATGGCTCTCCCACACTTAAATTAAGGTTAATAAGCTTACTGGCATAATAACCATTAATGATTATTTAAGCTATTCATTAGTGGTTCAATTTGGTTTGTCATCAAGTTAGCATGTAATCAATGGTTGTAACCAAAAAAATGCAAAAATTTTAAATGATTAGAGTTTTGTTATGTGTAAATTTATTTAATGTAATGTTTTCGGTGAGAATCTTCATCTAGCTTTTGCGGAGGAAGACTAGGGAGTGTAGGATTCCTATCTCACGAAAACTCATGGTAGTTATCATTACC